TAAAATTACATTTATTTGAATGCATTTGTGAGAGCGCGATTACGTGTAAATTGGTCCTGCCTGTCTGTGCAACGTCTCTGTACTAATAGTGAAGCTGTGGATTTTGATTATTTCAAAACACAAATAAATTTTCGGTATAACTTTTCTGTTTCTAAGCATTTTTATTGACAAATCACAGGGCAGCGTTGACAATATTTTTTGTTTCTGTGTGTGAGTGATCCGTTATGTGTCTGTACATGTGCGCGTGCAGTACAATCCTTGTAGGCAGAACTAGTTTAGAACGGCTATAGTTATGGCATTAATTGTGCTAGTGATTGAGCGGTAGTGGAGCACTCTGAGAGCGAGCGAAAACCAGAATTCTCCGACTTTCAAAAGATCCCCGCTTCAGTTAAAATCACGCTGCTCCACTCTCAATGCACTTCGATCCCATACGCTGCTTTGGGGTGGCAACACTCATTTTAAGGGTGGCAGTTGCCACCCCGTGCCACCCTTGTGGACACGCCACTGCTCTAGTGTTAATAATTTTGCAGAAATGAATGTTGGAAAGACAAGATGGAAAAGGAGACATTTACTTGCAGAGTTCTGCTGAACGAACAGTTGTCATTTTGAGTCATGCATTATTTTTAGTAAGGTGGAAATTATTAAAATCTTAGTAACACGACTGATGTTAAATCTAGGGCAAAAAATTATTTATTTATTTGTTTGTCTTTTTAATAATTGAATATTTGTATATTTTCATTATTTAGCATTATTTTCATGAACATTACATCATACATTACATTTTACACTTTTTTTTGGTAATGTGGAATATTATTATTTTTTTGTATGTTGTATTAGACTATTTTTTTACAACAATTGTCAGGACACAAAGGGAATATATATATATATATATATAGTTTATTGAATAATAATTATTTCAAACAGGGAGATGTTGGAGATCTGGTCATTTTGCAAAATAAACCCTTTCAGGATGACACAGGATATTTGGCGTTTGGGTTTATTTTGCGATAATGACTGTCTGTCTGTCCATTATGTTAATAAGGAGCACAAAAGGCAGCCTTGTGTATAATGACCCATGCTGTTTTTCCCTCAGGTCCGACCTGTAATATAAAGTTCAACCCGTTATTCCATTAACAGTGATGTATGATAAATAAAACACGCAATGAAAGCCTTTTATGGCTCTTGTACTACAGGGAAAGTCTTTGAAAAGCTCTCCACTCTAAACACTGCAAATAGTTCGGTATGGATTAATTACAGCAGATAAGGGTGTCTCTGAATTTCTCATTCCCCCTCAGGGTGCAATAAAGCATGTCTGTTTATCTCTGTTTTTTACGTGAAGTCTGAGATGGTCATCTGAGAACCAGAGCAGAGTTATCAGAAGACATCCTCATGGATGCAGTGAGAAATGGTCAGACTGACACACCGTCTGTTTGTTTCAGTTGAAGGTTTATGTGAAGGAGTTCGGAAAGGCCTGGTGGATGTTGCGATCTGGGTGGGAACCTGCGGTGACTACCCACACGGAGACGCTTCCACCGGCTGGAATTCTGTTTCCCGCGTGATCATAGAAGAGCTTCCTCTGAGCAGCTGAGTCCCTCACAGTCTTCCAGAAACTTCCAAGCACTGTCTGTGCTACTACATTTTTTAAATTTGAGGATGAATTGCTTTGTACTACTCTATTGACATTGATGGTTCCATGAAGAACATTTAACATCCTTTTGATTCCACAAAATATTCTTTAAGGTTCCAAAAGGTGTTTTTTCCGCAGATGCAGAAGAGTCAGATTTGGATCCTCAAAGAAACTTTCAGTGGTCAGTTCTCAAAAGAACCATTTTTTCTTATTGTGATTAAAGCAATAAGCCCCAAGAAGCCGTGGTTTACAGTGAATTTATAACAGCTGGGGCATTGTTAGGCATGACGCGAAGCCCCCTTAGCTGTTATAAATTCACTGTAAACCACGGCTTCACGGGGCTTATTGCTTTTATAAAACGGCTATTCCATATACGTAGTAAGGTTTCACAGAATAAAACAGAGCAAATAAAGTGTAATGATATAAATAAAAACAGTATTCTTCCACCAAACAATGCAGTTCCTCAAAAACAGTTGTGGTTCCAACAAAGTGGTTGCCAAGCAACACACAGAAGTAAACAAAGGTGTATGTTTGTAGTGTAATTTTAAAACAGCTTCGAACGCGGCTCAACCAATCAGAATCAAGGACCGGAACTCTCCGTTTTATAAGAACATTTTAATAATCTAAAAGCAGGGGTCGTCAAATGGGACAATTCCTACAGTTTTAATTGAGCAGCGTATCAAAACAGTGGATCTGAGCACACCACAAGCACTCAGGGTCACTTATAATGATCTTTCGCCGTTATATCCTCTAATATTTTTATGTAGAGTGCTTCATTCAAACCCTTTTCAGAGACGTAAAGCGCTACAGATGATGCAGGTATTTTAACTACACTAGCAGAAACACAGTGAGCAGCAAAATAGAGTGGTACTTTCACTAAAACACTGCAGAAAACGAGAATGGAGAATGTAGCAATTAGAATTATTTTATCTGTTATACATACTGTTTATGACTCCAACCATTCAAATAAACAAGTATTTGTCAAGACTTTTTTTTCCATGTACATTTAGCATTATTAATCAGCTTGTTAAGAGCATTTAATAAAAACAATGTTATGATTGTGGACAAAATGTAATGAGTAAAATGTAATTCACACTATGAAAAAAAAATGGTTCTTTTAAGAACAGTTCACTGAAAGGTTCTTTGAGAAACCCAAAACTGTTCTTCCGTGGCATTGCAGAAAAAAAAAAAAAACTCCTTTGTAACTTTAATTTCCTTCCAACCTTGATTTATTTCTAAGTGCTTCAGCAGCATTTGTTTGCAGATGCCACTTGGTTTGATCATTTGTGATATTTAAGTATATTTAAGTCTAACAGCCCTCTCTTGATGTCTACCTCTACACACAAGGGCTGAAACAATCACATGACCTTGTACTGGAGTGACAGACTCTTGAAACTACAGTAAAAGTACGTTTGTAAGTAATTATGTTTAACAATTCGAGTCTGGACAGGTACTGTAAAATACATTTTATTGGATAATTTTTAAATGTCAATAAAGTTTTTTTTTTGTTTTTTTTTAAAGAACTCCTATCTTGGGTACATGTTCTTCAAAGAGCATTAGTTATTAACCTATGAGCATAACACATTTTAAGGCCATGAATTTGAGCTCATTAACACAAATGTCAGCAATGAGCCAGAAATGTCAGATTCAGTAAATCTGTGTGTGCGCTTGTGATTTGAGGAATACAGCCTGAGGTTTGGTTTGGTCATTGCACAGAACACGTACAGCAGCAATGCAGCATGGATGTAAACATGACGTAGACTTATTCACATAAAAACAGTTTTACCACTGATGAATTACCATTGGGCAATATAGCCAAAACAATTATGTCTCCATTTTTCTGCCTTCTGACAATATTTGCAATACAGTAGATCTCACAATGTATGTATTTGGTCTGAAATGGCAGAAAAGACATTTATAATGTTACAGTAGATTTGTTCTGTTCTTTTGAACCTTCTATTCATCACAGAATCCTGAAACACAAAACTATCAACACAAATGTTTTCAGCATTGATAATAATGTTTTTTCAGCAGGAAATCAGCATATTAGAATGATTTCTGAAGGATCATGTGACACTGAAGACTGGAGTGATGATGCTGAAAATTCAGCTTTGCATCACAGGAATAAATTACATTTTAACATATATTCAAATAATAAATAGTCATTTTAAATTGTAATAATATTCCACAATTTTTACTGTATTTCTAATCAATTAAATGCAGCCTTGGTGAGACGTCTTTCAAAAACATTAAAAAAATTCATACCAACCTAAACATTTGAGTGGTAAAAATGCCACATGGAGGAATGAAAATATTGTCAGGTTTTAAACTGTGAAACTGAAGATTAAAAGCACATTAAAATTATTAGAATATTCGCAATGTTGTTTAATTTCAAGTTGCCAGTGAATTATTCACAAATATGGATATTTTAGATATTGCCCAGCCCTAGTTATCGTAACCCATTTTTATCTCTTGATAAAAAGTTTAAAATCTGGTTTGATTTTAACACTTTTTAATTAGATAAAACAAACAGCCTGTATGTGAATATAATTTACAGCCACACGTAATATATCCCTCATGTCCATATTCACAATAATGTCACCAGTGCTGTAGAGAAACCAAACAAGTATCGGTTTCTTGACCAGTGTCTCCTGTTAGACACAAATTACACTCTGAACTCTGTGACCTCATGCACTTCAGTTTTCCAGAGAGGACCAGGATGTGTTATTTCTCTCTATTTACATTTCTGACTTCTCCATGGCCGTCAAACACCGTCACTGATGGGACGTCCCATCCCAGGTCCAGCTCTGCTCTCTGACAGACGGCTCCGCTGCAGTTATTCCCGTTCTCGGTTCACTTGTGCTGGTCCAGGAGGAAGCGGGAAACATTCTCATAGACCACAAAGGTTATGCAGCAGGCCGGAGTGACTCGGATCAGGTTGGGCACCATGCCTTTGTAGAAACCCAACAGACCCTCATTTCTAATCAAACACCAGGAGAAAGTCACAAGTTATGTATTATAAGATTACTGCACCTGTTTTACTGTACCTTTTACTATGTGCTGGTTGCATAAATTGCTTCGACTAGTCTTAAAAGTTAGTCATCCAATCTCTTTCTCCAAGACTGGTCATAACTTAGTAAAGTTTTTGAATCTGAAAAGTAAGACTGATTACCACTTGGTTAACTGTTAGTTGGTTCTTAAGACAGAGTCTTGACATAGTGGCAATGTTTATGCAACTGGTCCTAGAAAATTCACCAGACTGATCAGCTTATAACTAATCATGCACATATTAACCCGTTATAGGTTCTCTAGTTGTTTTGATCAAAGGAATGTTATTATTTTAGCTAATTTTCTAGAACACTACATTCAGAAGTTTAGGTTTAACAAGATTGCTATTAATAATATTTTCATTCAGCAAAGTTGCATTAAATTGATCAAAAGTGACAGTAAAGTCTATTTTATTACAAAAATAATATTGCTAAATATTACAAAAAATATATATATATATTACAGTATTATAAAAAGTATTATATTATATTATTACAACATATTTCTCGTTCAAATAAATGCTGTTCTTTTGAACATACTATTCATCAAATCCTGAACATAAAGTATTACAGTTTCTGCAAAAACATTAAGCAGCTGTTTTCAACATTGATAATAATTTTGATAATAAAAATAAATAATAATTTGACACTGAAGACTGGAGTAATGATGCTGAAAATTCAGCTTTGCATCACAGGCATAAATTATATTTTAAAATATATATTCAAGTATAGAAAACAGTTCTTTTATTGTAATAATATTTCACAATATTGCAATTTTTACTGTTTTTTATATATAAAATGAATGCAGCCTTTATTAAAACATTTAAAAAATCTTTTGAATGGTACTGTAGTATATAAACTGCGTTATTGTAATTAAAATGTAAGTTTTTAGGGCATTCATGAGGGTTCGATAGCATGAAAGTGAAGTTTGTCTTTTCGTTTTTGTTATTTAGATCACCAACATATGATTTGCTAATGTGTTTGCTTGAGATTAGGTTTTTTTTATATAAAATGAATGCAGCCTTTATTAAAACATTTAAAAAATCTTTTTAATGGTACTGTAGTATATAAACTGCGTTATTGTAATTAAAATGTAAGTCTATAGGGCATTCATGAGGGTTCGATAGCATGAAAGTGAAGTTTGTCTTTTCGTTTTTGTTATTTAGATCACCAACATATGATTTGCTAATGTGTTTGCTTGAGATTAGCATGTAAATCTCATGCTTACCTAAACGTTCTCCGGACAACATCTACCACTCCATCATACGTGTTGTGCTGATCTTGCAGACGGGCTCGGACCACCTGATACGGGTATGTCATAGCCACTGCGAATATTTTGGACAAAGCTGCCATGGTAATGTATTCTAATGCATTCTAGAGAGAAAACAGAGCACAAAATGCACCGTGAGTTACTACAAACCACATTAATGAACTGATGAATGTGGCTGTTTAGCATAATACCACTGTGAAAAGTGATGCCAAAATGGATTTATTTTGGACACCTAAAATTAAAAATGCATAGTCAAGTGACAGCAACGTAGCTATTTTGAAATGTTTATCGTTGCATAATGTGATGTTACCCATTTTAAAAAGGCGCAATATACAGTAAGCCAAAAGTTTAGTTAATTTTATAAACCAACAAAGTGTGTCGTGCTCATACTAACCAGTTTAGCATCTGATTGCATCTTTCTGTATTTGTTATAATCTCTCTTCAACTCTTCATACGCCATGAACTGCAGTGCACCATGGGAGGTTCCAAACAATCCCGGGACAAACCCCTAGGGATCATAACAGTTAACTCAGCTAGATGAAGCAAACAAACAAACCCCACAGCATGCAACTGACACACAATCACAAATATTCGCATGCACGCTCCTTATTTCCTTATACAAGTGCTCCTCCTAGTGGCACAATGTGGAATCTCATTGATTATTTCCTGTTGAAAGAAACAATCCACCCAAGGACTGCACAAAACTACTCTTCATTATTCTATACGTTGCCATAGAAACCCTTTTGTACCCGATAGAGTCCTGCGATCCCTTCGTGGCGGAAGATTTTCACAAGAGCATCCATCATCCCCTTATACTGCTTCTTAGATGGATCGGTGCTATACTGCAGAACCAGGCGAGTTTTGGTGACCCAGATTGGATTGGTCAGGCAAAGCGTCACCGCCCCTAAAAAACAGTGACACCGAATATAAAGTAAATGAACGGCAGCTGTTGTAAAACTAAGATCCACATGAAAAGAGTCATTACTGGTCCTTAATGGCTCACGCTGAGTCATTCCAATGAAGGATGCACCTCATTCAATTAGAGAAGCCCATGACACACACACTCTTCAACATGAGCTCTTTGCTGGAAGTTTAGATTATATACGTCCTTCGGATCAATTTACATGGCGTTTAATGTCACAAAAAGCTTTTTATGATATTAATGCACAAATCGTGACTTAGCCGGTGGTCATTTCATCTAAAATGTGACAAGGACTGCTGGTCTAGTGATAGATTGCTCTACTAATGGTTGTGCCTACTTGGCTATAAAAAAGAAGGGTTCGCTTAATTTTAGCAACTCTGTGTTCATCTAATTTGGTGTCGTTAAAGGGGTCATATGATGCAATTTCAATTTTTCCTTTCTCTTTGGAGTGTTACAAGCTCTTGGTGCATAAAGAAGATCTGTAAAGTTGCAAACACTAAAGTCTCAAATCCAAAGAGATATTCTTTATAAAAGTTAAGAGTCAACCACACCTACCTAAAACGGCTCGTTCTAACACGCCCCACATGTCTACGTCACGATGTGCGAAGATTTGCATAACACCGCCCAAATGTGCACGCAAAGAAAGAAAGCGTGGTTTCAGGAACAGCAGTAGTGTTAATGCAGCCATGTCAGGGAGACGCTGTGTATTTCATTGCGAAAGCAAAAGCACTACACACACACACACACATATATATATATATATATATGTGTGTGTGTGTGTGTGTAAAAAACAAGAAAAAAAATTGAATTTTGTAAAAGCATAAACAACAACAGAAGTGTACAGTAATTTACTTTTTATGATAATTATAATAATCTCATGAATTTTCATGCTCTCTGTCCTTTTAGAACAGACTTGCAAGCTATTTTTAGGTCACGGCCCACCAGCAGAGAAGCACTGATCTACAGCGCTCGAGAGTTGATGTCTTTCAGACTTAAAAACAACCAATCAATATCGGAGCTGTGCCTCATTCGTTATGCTCCAGTTTATCTGTCAGCACTGATTAGAAAGGCATGTGTTGAAATTCACTTTGCCAGAGTCTTTATCATTTTGACTGATGGGAGAAAATAAATGAGCGATACACAGGAAAACAGAGGACATTGAAGCGAAGGTGAGATCTCGTGTTAGTAAACACACTCAAGAATTTTTTCGTGCCATCAGTAGACTTTAGTTCGTTTTAGTTTAGTTTATTTCTTACAACTACATAAGCATTTATTGCAATTCAATTCCACATGCTACTCATATTTCAACTCAAAATCTATACATAAATATTTGTATTTTCTTTGATTTTGAAGCCTATTTTGGTACATATTGTAATATGGATTTCTTTTACACAACAGTAGTAAAAAAATGGGCAGAAAAATGTGCTAAGCAATGTTTCAATGCAAAAAAAACAACAACTTAATGATTCTAAAAGAGGATTCATTTTATTTAAGCAATATATAATTAAAATTATATGATCAATAATAATATTTCTTTCTTTTGATGCTGAGGTGAAAATGACATGGACGTGTGTGTGTGTGTGTAGAGAGAGAGACAGAAGGTGTTGAAGTCTATTTTGGTAAAAAAATTATGTATTTTTTATATATATATTACAAAAAGTAATTAAAAAAATGGACAGAAAAATTGTGCTAAACTGTCATGAAAATAATGACAACACAAAAAAACAAAGCCTTAAAAGTCCTAAAATAGGATTCATTTTATTTAAGCAAAATATAATGTAATATAATAGTAATAATATTTCCTTCTTGTGATTTTAGGGTGCAAATGACATGGTCATGTTCTTGACAGCTTTGGTGAGATTGATGTGATGAGCGTGTCTGTGGTGATACTGACCTGCTCCTGCTGCTGACAGCAGATGCTCAACGGCACTCAGCTCTGTCTGTCTGCCCTCTTTGTTGTACGCTTTGATTGCATTGTAGCTACAAATACAAATTTGTAAAAATATATATTACTTAAGTGATGTTTATATCTAAACACCTAACTGATTCTGGACTGTTAAATTACTGAAAACTATTGCACCTAAGAGTAAAACTTAAGCATGTATTATTTTCACAAAGTCACAGCTCCTTACATAATGCAAAAATGTACACCGTGCATACAGGATGCATTACAGGTAGAAAAATACATACAAGAAAAAGTAAAGCCCCCATGACGCTCCAGCGCCCCAGATATTTGGAGTGACACCTTGATAAAGGCCCCGGAGACCCTCCTGCTGCCAGACGCTTTTCATGCAGTGCAGAATTCCACTGTATTTCGGTCTCACGTCCAGCCCATCACTCACTGTAATACAGTAAAGAGCGAAACATTTGAGCCTGTTCGAGCCTTACTCATGCCACACGTTTCAGCAATGAATGCTGGGTTACACTCATACAATATACAGTATATAGTATACAGAAAATCTGTAAAACTAATTGATTTATTAATCATTTGATGTAACAATTTATTTGATTTACTTGACATCATAAATTTAAATTGATTTGGTAATAGCCTGCTTTATATCATTTTTTTCATTAACAATTCCTGCAACAAAAATGTTATTTTATTTATTTTTTTAACAATAATTTGAACATTTATTAAAATATAATTAAACAATTTATTAAACTAGTCATCTAGATGTTGACATATTTACAAATAATTATTTTGGGGCTAATCACATCATAACATTTTCTTGTTAAGTTTATTAATTAATTAATTAGATCATGACAGTTGACAAAAAAAAGGGAGCAAGCCGAAGGGAGAGAGAGAGAGAGATCATGACTGCTGACAGATGTTGATATATTTCCATATATATTTAAATCTGATCTGTTTAGTATTATAAAACGTCCTGTTAATGACGGTTGTTAATATTGTTTCTATGTACAGTGCCGAAATGTTTTATTAAAATAAAGCTAATTATTAAACATTACTATAACTTTTAAATGATAAATTCCCACTGAAATTATTGATATTAACATGATATTAATGTTTGTTATTAAATTAAAATAAAAAAGTAAAAAATTATTTAAACAAGACATCTAGATGTTGGCAAATTTTCATAGATTCGTTTTGGGACTAATCACATCATAACATTTTGTTGTAAAGTTTATTAATAAATTAATAAATCATGGCAGTTGTCAAATGTTGACACATTTTGATATACATCTGTTTATGATACATAACATCCTATAAAATTACAGTTATTCATATTTTTCTAAATACAGTACCTAATTGTTTTATTACAATAAAAAGTTAATTATTAAGCATTATTATTAGCTATAAAACTGACCTATTAATCTCAAATGACATAATCACCCAGTACATTTAATGACATTGTTTCTGGTTTTACACGTACCTGCAAACCTAATTTTGACCAGATCCAGAGGATGCAGCACTAGTGTGGACACCACCCCTCCACTGAGCCCTGCTATTAAATTCTCGATCTTCACATGGCTGAAGAGTCTCTGCAGGCTGCCGGTGAGGGTCAGGGGGACAGGAGAGCCCGGGCTGGGACTGGGGCTCATGACTGCTCCCTTACTGCAGCTCAACACACAAAATCACCCAAGTTACCTTAACATGTCATGAACCGTCTTAATGAATCATTTTAAAGCATTTAGACCGGTAAAGAACTTTCTGGAATTTGTTGTTACAGCCGTTATGAGCCACTGTTTCAGCAAGAATCAACGGGCTGCATGACCTTACCAGTTAATGTCAGATCATATGCAGTGACTGACGGCAGGGATGATTCGGAAACATGCTGAAACAGGAACATGGCGCTTTCCACAACACAAACTGCGCATGCGTACCATTGCACTGTCAAAATAAGAGTCTTCGACGAGTACCATGACGAAACCGTCATTAGCGGACAAAAAATAAATAAAAAATAACTAACTAATATACTCAAATCAATTTTAAAAAGACCTACATTAAAAAATAAAACTTTTTTATTTAATTTATTTTTGGACTAATCACACCATAACATTTTGTTGTAAAGTTTATTAATTAATGAGATCATGAGTATGCTGTCCACAGTATATTAATTATGTATACCTTATTTTCTTCTACAATATGGCTTTTTTCCTCTATTTTCCTTTTCTCTGTTATTATATATAATGTAAAATATAATGTTATTGATCTCTGAATTTAAAAAAAATAGTGTCATGATGAAATGATCATTAGTATAATCTGGTACTGAGAAACATTAAAAGGCATTACTTTTAAAATGTACCGTGAATAAAAGATTTATTATTTTCATAGGAGATTTTATTTATTTTATTGATTATTATTCATAACCAATTCATTAGACCAGTTAAGTCAAAATGTTAAAATCTCTCCATTTAAAGCTAAATATAATTACACAAAGCATCAATTTTACATACATAATTTCTAAATTAAGAATGATATAATAAACAGTTGTATGTATAATAATTATAATTACTTTATTTTATTAATAAAAACCACAACACATCTAAACGTATGATCAGTTTTAAAATAACAAATAGTAAAATGGTTCTTTCATACTATTATATGATAAATAAATAACAATATATAATACAATAATAATATAGTTTTTACAAACCACTTCATAAGCATTTAATTGGTAAATAAACTTTTATTGTGTATGTAGTAAAAGTATTACGGCCAAAGCTTATCAGACGTCTTCAGACCATAAAGACCTCTTTATGCTGAACATTTCAGCAATTATAGATTCGGGTAATTAGGAAAAAATATTTAAATTATTTATCTCTCTTTCTGATCTGCTCCTGGGAGGCGTGCCGTGCGTGCTTAATATCGCGAGATTTATTGATTTGCCTGGCTATTCGCCATAGTCGAGCCACGTACTTTGCGTAATCTGACTCCATTCATGTGAATGTTTCCTACGCCGCTGACGTAGCTGAGTTTTGCGGAAGTGGTATCAAGGGGAATGTAGGGCTGCCAAAGAACGATCGGTTTCCAAAGCGGCACTTGAACGTTAATATTATGGGTAAGTTCCGCTCACTTTTACTATAATATCATTTACCAAACATCGCCGTTTGAGTCTCGCTAACGTTTACGCGGCGTTTGTGTCTAGTCGAAGCATTTCGGTGGTTTAAATCGACGCTCGCTTAGTGTTTTTTTACTGTAATTTAGGTTAGCGATAGCGCGCGAGGCATTTCCTGTCAGTTTTTTTTCCTCTCGTGAGTCATTGAAGAGCGAAAAACGGGTTACGTTCGTTAGAATTTAATCAATATTAACCAAACACACTCTATTTTCAAAGCTTTTCTTAATTGTTAAATATTACACGCACATACTTTGCAGTAATACTCATTTTTAGAACACAAGCAAGTTAGTGTAGGTTAGCAGCTAATCACACAACAGCTGCAATAATGCAATTATTTCATTTCATTACATTTTGGTTACATATTAAATAAACTAATATGGAGTTTAATTTAAATATGTCCTGCAATCTCTCTGAGATGTTGTTTAGGTGGATACTAGACAGAAAATACATGCTAGCAGGTTTGAAAACTGTTGTTTTGCATATTGTTTTTAGAATTGCCATAATAATCTAATTTAAAAGCAGTTCACATTGAATGGGTCGTTTTTATCACTCCAAATGTCATCCACACCTGCTAATGTGTGAATTGAGAGACAGCTGATGCTCTGCAAAAGTACAAATGTTGTTTCCCCCCCCCCAGCTATTTGTTAGTGGTTTCATTCATTAAATGAATAAATGCAGATAGAAGTGCTTTAAAATGTTATTTCCTTCACTTAATTCCTTCACATTAAACCAGGTGCTGTATGTCATTCATACGTGCACTTAAACTGCGGTTAGGCTCTCACATCCTGTAGACAGATCTGTTTTAAACAACTGAATGCATCACCTGGGACTTGTACCACGTGGCTGAACAAACTCAGGGTTACAGGATTAGTTTTGAGTTGACAAAACCAAACCAGTCCAATCCTGATTTGTTGGTACCATGACGCTGATCATCAACTTTCTCTGTCAACTCAGGCTTTGATCCTGAGTTTATGAAGCATGTGCACATGAAAGTGTGGCATCAGTAACGAACAGCCAATCACATGCCTTGGTGCGAGATGCGAGAGAGTCAGTGCGCTTCACTACCACAGATTAAAAGATTGAAAAATATGAAGAATTTAAACAAATTTACATAGCAAGATGAAACGGTCTATCCATGAAAGAGGACAACTTAAAGAAAACATCTTGCCATATCAGTGCAAGCAAAAGTTGTATAGTTAGTTTATATAGTTGATCATATTTATATGTATAAAAACTTTTTTTAAAGCTATTATTTCTAAATCTTATTTATATTGCATATCTTTATATATTTATATTATTCATTTAAAATAAAAGCTTAATTATTATTAAACTAAACTGGCTTGTGTAATGTATTAAGGGTATAATAATTATATAAATCATAAAAAAGAATTATAATAAATAATCTCTAAAAGCCAGATGATTTTATCTTTAAAAATGTTTTACTTTGTAGTGTCCTTTAATTTGGAGCAAGAGAACCTGGGGGAGTGACTTACATAAGTTACTATGGTGATGAACACCGATTAAAGCCGAGCTACTTTCATGGTACCTAAAACCCAGAGTTGGGTCAAACTGAACTGAAACTTACCTGGCTAGCCAGCTAAACCGGCTTCATGGTACAGGCTCCTGGTCTGACAACGGGTTTGTGTATTTTACTTTCAGCTGTGTGGCTTTAGTATTTGACTTTGTATTAGTGTTACTTCTGCTCTGTTTGGCTTCTCGTTACATATTCAGAGTGCCTGAGGTTTGTGTATATCACTCAGACTAATTAAAATAATACTGTTAAGGGCGGTCATGACTCTTAAAGAAACCAAGTTATCATGCACAATAAATGATGCTGGTGACATTAAAGGATGCAGCCGAGTGTAACCACATGTCTTTGTTTTGTGACCTCTGATTGTGCTTTCAAGCATCTCATATTCTGCACCATCACTTCTCATGTAGTGCCGCACATTAATCAGCATGTTACGGTCGCACCATCTTGACACTTGTGTGGTTTTATGTACAAAATATTGCTTTTGTTTGACTTTCCAGTAATTGTGATTAAATGAAAGCTGTCAGGCACTTATCGGAAACCCTAATCGGTTCACATTTTGCTGTTATTTCATGATTCATGCGTGCCGTTTTAGTCAGAGTTTGGACACACCTACTCATTCTTTATTATTTCTATTTTCCACATTTTAGGCATCAGTGGGAATTGTCTTGACCAAAAATATTAGCTACACAAATCAAAGCTATTTGAGCTTCTTCAAATGTATCCATGCTTTTTCTAAAATTCATATATAACAGAATTAATATGTAAGCATAGCTGTGTATAAAACTAATTTCATGCATTTCAGCATAAGTCTTTAGATGGAAGTGTTTTTAGGATCGTGAGAAAAGTAAATGCAGTTCATTATGTCACTCAGCATCATACGAGCACATTTCAGGCTCTCTGTGATACTTTGCATAAATGTTGTGATTTATATTTATTCCTCATATTTTTGTTTTGGTGACTTAATGTGAGGTATTATTCCACGTGTTGCCACATAGTATTGTAGGGGGGAAAAAAATTTTTTAAACATCATAGATCAGTGGTTTTCAGTTTTTTTTTCATGCCAAATATGATCATTCTGGTGCAACAGAGCCCATCCTAATATTTAAAAGCCAGCTAAATAGTTTAATGTATAAAGAACATTGATATAATAAATATGCACAAAATATTATTTGGAATATTTTTAGTTTCAACTTTGTTCTGTTATAGTTTGTGTTACGTTTTTTCTACTTGTACTACTGTACTGTTGAAAGAAATATTTATTTAAATCTTTGTTTAATTTATTTTAGCGAAATTATTTATTTTAATTTATTTAAATGAATTACGTTTTAATTTTATTATTTATTTATTTATACTTTTTTTTTCCCACTTGACCCCCTGAAAACTCCCTTGCGAACCCTGGTTTGAAGACTGCAGTCCTAGATAAACTTTATTCAGTAGATGTTTGTATATGTTTGAGTCACTTGCTTCATTGAGCCTCTGACTTTCACTCTATCAGTTTTTTTTTTTTTTTTACTTTCCAAAGCAATTTCAAGCATTTGGAGCCTGTGTATATGTCATAAATTTTTGTGCTTTTTTTCCCTCTCCCTCTTTGTCTAAAAATGCTGTTGTATGCTGAACTTTGGACATGCCAAACATCTCTTCTGACATCTTCATTTTGCTCCCCATCACCCTTAACCAATACCATGCATTTCTGGGATTCAAATACACAGCAGTAAGTATGACTAATACAGGGAGAATAGCACATTATCACCTATTTGCTTATTTGAGAGTACAATTGTGTGTGTTATTCTCTGTGAGCATATACCAGCCAACTTCTCTGATCAAAAAAGTGTTTTTCAATCTGTTTTCAGCAGCAGAAGAGTCTGGAGGGATACGTGGGCTTTGCAAGCCTCCCCAACCAAGTGTACAGAAAGTCTGTGAAGCGGGGCTTTGAGTTCACCCTGATGGTTGTGGGTAAGGAAACACATTCTTTGAATGTATTGATTTTGATCTGCTTTATAACCTTCGGTATGCAGTTTGCAAATACCAAACTACACTCAACGTGTAACTAATTTAGTGACACATTGCTTGTGATGGATTCAGTGTGTGCTGCAGTCATTATGACCGCTTGAGAAGCTTCCGGTCTAGTTTTGAATGTTTGCCAGTTTGAGACTACATTCTTGACATTTGGTCTAAACACTGTTTGGATAACACACAGGAAGCAGGGGTTGAATAGCAGTGATTTCACATCCTGTTCATCTTGAAAAATGCGAAGACTTCAGTGAAGAACACCTAAATGGCTGACATTTTACAAAGCATAGTTCTGAATTTGATTCTTTTACGCTTAATCAAGTTTGCGGTGATATGGGATCTGCCCTGTTTTTGCTAGAATTTGCTGTGAAAGCTTACGGAGCGGTGTTTGCTTTGGCTTTGCGTGTGAGCTGCGGTTTTGTACCCGACATCCACTGCATTTATGAATCTGACCTGAGGACTCGTGGTTGTGCGTGCTTGAGTTATTTTTCGGTCTCAAGTGAAAGGCATGTTCAAGACATTATTTGTGGTCTGTATAGTTGCAAAATACTGTCTTTGGTTAGACTTGGTAGATGGTTTAAACTTATTCATCACATAATATCCCAATATTTAACTTATTATTAATGAATCATGAATCATTAATTAAGTTTTATAGTGCTTTCTCTTGCTGATTTTTTAAACAAATTAGCTGGACTGTGCGGGTGGACTTTACCCAGTTGTTCTTGCATTAGTGTTTGGGTATGGAAAACAGCCAAGTCTGTAATGGTGCCAGCCACTTGCCCTGCCAGAAGCAATTTACTCTAGTTAATGTGCTGACCTCACTGCGTGAGACCGCACAGATGAATGCTGCGCTCTCTTAGTTAGTTTCTCTGTATTCACACTAATGCTAAATACATAATAATGAAGCATCATCACACCGATGGAGAGGTATTGAGTCGGTCATGTTTGAATTTCCAAAACAATTAGCAGTAAGTATTTAGAATGAAGTTCACTTAGTCACATCTTGTCCATTAACATATTTACTAAAGAACTGCCAAAAAGCTGCTTGAGGTTATTTCCACTGTTCTCCCATGAGGTTCTTAGACAATCATTTAGATTGGATGCAAAAAATGCCGTTCCCTCCAGCATTGGCGTAATACATTTAGAGGAGGTTCACACAGGGCATGTCCTTGCATTCCATCTGCACTATTATTTTAATTGTTTGTCTATTTACTCATGCATCAGATGGATGTTTTTGGCCACTGTCTCATGCCATGAATGTCACATTTTTAAGATTTTAAATGTAATGCTAGAGGAGTGCATAAATCAGCCATTAAATTGCAATTTTGAGATTAAGTGCTACATTTTCCCCTCTTTTGTTCTTTTAAAATCTACCAAAATTATTTTTACAAATCGTGAGTAAATATTTTGTCAAATAATAAACAATTTTGTCAATAAATAGTAATAAATCACCCTGCTTTCTAGATATTGTGTCTGCATCCGCTGGTTCAAAGCCCATATCTGTCAAGCACTATTTAACTTTGGAAAATGCATCTTGAGAGTCCAGTATTTCATATTTGTCTTTACTTCATTATGTTGGTAATGAAATATTCTCTAGTCTTCTAGTCCTGATTGTCATGTCTACTGATTTTATATAGTACTGTAAAAAAAAAAAAGAGTTTTTGAAAGAAGTCTCTTATGATCATCAAGGTTGCATTTATTTGAATTTTCTTATTGTTATCAATGTTGAAAACTACTCCTTAATATTTTTTATTAAAACGGTGATAGTTTTTTCAGGATTCGGTGAAGAGAAAGTTTAAAAGAACAGCATTTATTTAAAATATAAATATTTTGTAACATTGTAAATGTCTTTACTTTGACTTTAACTTTTAAAATTGCATTAATGTAAGGCATCCTTGCTAAATAAAATAATTTAAAAATAAATCTTCCTAACCCATCATTTTGAATTGTAATGTATACAGAAGAAACTTAAAAACCTAAGCTCAACTAAAACTCAAACCTTAAACTTTTTGTCTTGCAAGCAGTGTTATTTCCTTCAGTAAATCTATTTTTTATGTTGCTCTGAATTCAGGTATCATTTTAACCTTATGTTTCTCTGTATTTTCTGTCCTTTTTTTCAGGAGAGTCAGGGTTGGGAAAGTCCACGCTGATAAACTCTCTGTTCCTGACGAATCTGTACTCTGGAGAATATCCTGGACCTTCGCATAGAATCAAGAAAACAGTTCAGGTATAAAGAGTGAAGCTATGTTTCCTAAATGTCAATAGATGCTGCTTGTTCCTTCTCAGTTGTGCACTGGGAACAGAAAGTGGCAAACATCTTTCTTTTTTTTTTTTTTCTTGAATATAGTTTTATAAAGGTTTTTAGATCATAACTCCATGCACACATTTCTAGGTTCCTATGCTACTATACTTCTGGCTTCTCAAGCATACTTAAGTAATACTTCAGTAATAGCTATGCTATGTCCTGCATGTTTGTACTTGTAGCCTTTAGAGTGTCTGTGAGTCCAGAGCTTTGCACAACATTTCAGCTTTTTGATAATTGTCTTTGCATCAACACCACTTATACCCTGTGGTATGTAAACATAAGTGACCAAGCAGACATTAGCTACTAGTGTTTACACCAGCCATTTGTGAGGTCTTTTTTAGTATTTACTAGGGCATATGTTGAGGGCCTCTATGTAGAAGTAGTAATTCAGATGGTCTGTTATCCACAGGTGGAGCAGTCCAAAGTGTTGATGAAGGAGGGAGGTGTCCAGCTTCTGCTCACGATAGTGGACACTCCAGGATTTGGAGACGCTGTGGACAACAGCAACTGGTGAGAACGATTTTAGTGTGTTTGGTGGAGTGCCAGATATAATTCTGACAGCATGGTTCAATACCAGGTTGCTTTATATAATTAGATGGCTGTGTGATTGTGTTTTCATTACTGTGGCGTTGCTTTAAACCAAAAGCATGACCTGAAACTCCCGTGTGTTTTCTGCTCCAGCTGGCAGCCGGTCATTGATCACATCGACAGTAAGTTTGAGGATTATCTGAACTCCGAGTCACGTGTGAACAGACGGCAGATGCCGGACAGCAGAGTGCTCTGCTGTCTGTATTTCATTGCACCCTCAGGACATGGGTGAGTGATCGGAGACCTGTCCTTCTGCTTTCCGGCTGATTATTATTCTTAATAATGTCTTAATAGAAGGAGAAAACTTACCAATCATATGTTGACCACTAATTAAAGTAGCTTCAGTGCATTAGTGACACAATTCTGAGGTTCAGTTTTTGTGTTGTGGTTTGAATTAAACCCTCTAATTTGCGGTAGGAAAGGTACACTATACATTAAATTGATCAAAAGTGTCAGTAAAGACATTTTACATTGTTACAAAACCTGTATTTCATTGCACCCTCAGGACATGGGTGAGTGATCGGAGACCTGCCCTTCTGCTTTCCGGCTGATTATTATTCTTAATAATGTCTTAATAGAAGGAGAAAACTTACCAATCATATGTTGACCACTAATTAAAGTAGCTTCAGTGCATTAGTGACACAATTCTGAGGTTCAGTTTTTGTGTTGTGGTTTGAATTAAACCCTCTAATTTGCGGTAGGAAAGGTACACTATACATTAAATTGATCAAAAGTGTCAGTAAAGACATTTTACATTGTTACAAAAAACATTGTATTTTAAATAAAAGCTGTACTTTTGACATTCTATTCACAAAAGAATCCTGAAAAACATTATCACAGTTTCCACATAAATATGAAGCAGCACAGCTGTTTTCAACATTATATAATAATGAGAAATGTTTCAGCAAATCAGCATATTAGAATGATTTCCGAAGGAAAGTAGTGAGTAACGATGCTGAAAATTCAACTTTGCATTACATTTTAAAGTATATACAAATAGAAAGCAGTTATTTTAAATTATATTAATATTTCACAATATTACTGTTTTTACTATTTCTTATCAAATAAATGCAATCTTGTAAGAGACTTCTTTCAAAAACATTTTAAAATTCTTCTAACTATAATTTTGTGCATAAAATAGGTTGGTTGTATTCAAACCTAGACCTTTTTTTCCCCCTTTTTTTGTATATCATGCTTCAGTTCATTTTCACTTTATGTTTGTCAGTTTTTTCCTGCTAAGATGTCTGATAATGGATTTCATTGACAAGCCAGAGCTGAAGTCAAAATTTTCCTCTTAGTCAGTGAAAACATTAGAATGACTGTGTTACTGTAAGCAGCTGTTCTCAGACAATAGTGGATCTGTGCTCAGTCGCAGTGAAGATGCAGGAATGTGTCGCTCTATTCAGTCTTGTGTCCACACGGTCCTGATGATTACTGAAGCATGGCACAAAGTAAATAATATGGGTGTTGTTGCCTATGATTCAAAACGGAAACCAATTTAGCTGTAAAAGTATAACACATGACCACTAGTGACTTTTTTTCTTTTATAAAACAACGATATTCAAAACAGCAATATTTCAAATATTAATATTCAAAAAGTCACCAGTTCAATAAATAATTACAATAATAATAAACTCCTCTGAATTAAAATAAACAATGTATTAGATTGATTGCTTTTTTTTTTTTATAGATTTTTTTTAAATAATAGTGTTCTCTTAAAATGTGGATCATCAGATATTCTATCATTGTAATTTCGAATTTAGTTGCACTATTAAAAAACGATATTATTCCGTTTCTAAAGCCAATGTGAGTGGTCTTTAACTGTGCAAAGGTTCAGACCATGCCCTGATATTAAGAATGAGTTATAGTTTTGGTGATTCATGCATTTGCAAAGACTATTAAAAAGCGAAAGGGACTGAGAGAACTGTGTGATGGTTATCATGGTGTTGTGTTGTATGTTTTTCCACCAGACTGAAACCTTTGGACATCGAGTTTATGAAACGGTTGCATGAGAAGGTCAACATCATCCCACTGATTGCCAAAGCAGATACCCTGACACCCGAAGAGTGCCAACAGTTCAAGAAACAGGTCAGCCTGCTGCAGCCTCCAGCTCTCGTGTGCTAAGTGCTGTCCATTTAAACTCCTGATTAAGAAAAAGGCAAGAAGAGACAGCAGGAGTTCAAGCCTCCGGCACCATGTGTGTCCTGAGTGCTTTGCCATCTGTCAGAGTATTATCTCTGCAGGAACCATGAGCAGGAGTGCAGCATTACCGCCATGACAGGAAAGATCAGATGAAAAGATTTGAGCACATCCACAAATAAATAAACAGAGGATGAAAGCCTTTGACAATGAAATGCATTTATAATTTTTAGAGCTGCAGTTTTAATTTCAAACCTGTGATCATTTTGGTTGAGCAGCTAACATTAAAAAAATAAATAACTATAAATGGGTTTGTGCAGGATCAGTTAATTTGTGAATATGTAATGAAACTTTGTTCCCACGGTCATGGAATTTGTATAAAGTCTTTATCCAGCAGTTAACAATTATAAATGGCATTTGAAGTATAGCTTGTTGTGTTTAAAACCTAATAATCTTTTCTTTCTCCACAGTTGAGAATGGAGACCACTGTGATTTCACACTCTTAAGGAATATGCTTATCAGGTACAAACATAGCCACCGCAAATCAAAATGCATTGAGTTTGAGTTTGGCTGAAGTCTTGTGGGAATTAACTGTGGAAACACAACAGCAATAGCTTTTGGAGAGTGAACGAGACTTTTGTCAAATGCTTTGCTTAAAAAGTGTGCTTTTGCTATTTTTCGTCAACATAAATGCCACTTGGTTTCATATTTTATATATCTAATGTATTGGCACTCATACTTTAAGCATGGCTTTGTGGAGCCAGTGTATAAAAATTTACTTGTTTTGTGTCAGAACCCACATGCAGGACCTCAAGGACGTCACAAATAATGTCCATTATGAGAACTACAGAAGCAGGAAGCTTGCGGCTGTTACCTGTAATGGAATCGACAACAACAAAACCAAAGGCCAGCTCACCAAGTAAGTTACGTTTAGTAACATATCACTGATATTAAACAATTCAGTCTACTTAATCCAAGAACAAATGACAAAGGCCTTTGCCTGCATGGTTTGTCCTGAGATTCAAGATGTTTATGTACTATCAGTGTAATCGGAAATGCCTGGAATAACGTAAGACAGCAGATGGCATCCGTTATATGCAGGGTTACATTCCATACTGCCTCATCTCAGACACTTAAAACATGCTCCACTCTGACCTCATTGCGTCACAATGTGTGAATGTAAATTATAACACTCGAGCAACAGTGTTTTCCTGGCACGCGTTACTCCACATCTTTAGTGTTTCGTATATGAATTTGAACAGCTGTCTGATTATTAGTATTGTCATATTAGCATTTATACTTTTGAATAATTTAATACATCTGAAATAACAAACAAACCTACACCTACTCTGAAATTAACTTTAACCTATTAACTTTAATGCTGAACATTTGTTAGGGATATATATATATATA